AATATTACTAAATACATAAACATTTTAACCTCAAGCAAAATACAGATAAAAGATCAAAAGATGAGTATTTGGGTTAGTTTATACTGTGATACAAGATGCTAGTTAGGATTAGTTTATATTGTGATAAGGATGCTAGTTAGGATTACTTTATATTGTGATAAATATTCTAGTTAGGGTTGGTTTATATCATGATACAAGTTGTAGTTAGGGTTAGTTTATATGCTGAGCTATATGTGATTGCCTTGATTCTTATTTAAGCATCTTGTATCACAGTAGAAAATATCCCTAACTAACATATTGTATTACAATATTAACTAACCCTAACTAGCATATTGTATTACAATATTAACTTGCCCTAACTAGCATAATGTATTACAATATAAACTAACCCTAACTAGCAACTTTTTTCATAATATAAACTAACCCTGACTAGAATTTTTTATTGCAATATAAAATAACCCTAAATAGCATCTTGTATCACAATATAAACTAACCCTAACAAGCCTGTTGTATCATAATATGGACTAACCCTAACTAGAATCTTTTATCACAATGTAACCTAACCCTAAATAGCATCTTGTATCACAATTTTTTAATTTTAAACTTTGAAGTTTTCTATTGTTCTTTATATTGTGTCTAAAATATGCAATTGAATGTTGTGGTGTAAAAATCTAAATTGATAATGGTAAATGTGAGCCACTGCAAAATTTTACACTTTAACTTGCTATAAAACAGTAAGCGAAGTTTAAAGAAAAACACAATCAATAAAGAATATTAAATTATTATACACATAAATCAAGAATGCCTAATAATACTACTAAACTTACGAACTTCAATTCTACAAGTCACGAGACATTAAAAACCTTTACAAATTTGTCTTCCTTATCACGGTTTGCCCTCATAATCATTGGGAAACATTCACTGTCATTGTAATTATGTTAAAAATATGTCCATTTTGTAGGTAACTGATATTGTTTTCTCTCTTACTTGTACACAGGATTTCACTATTTCCCCGAACAGGATAATAAAGTCTATTTCATGTGTTTGTTTTGGCAATTTGTGGTCCTCTAATTATTCTTCTACAGATTCTCTCTTCAAGTTTTCATGAGCTCCAGACACCATATAATGCTGCAAGTACTTCTTTACTGAGGTAAAAAGTGTGAACTTAAAAAAAATTCTAATTATATCTTCTTATAATATTTTAAGTTTGAGTTGTTGAAGAATGTGATTCGCTGGCATGTGCTAGAAGGTTAGACAGTTGATAGAACACTTGCCCAGTGTGCAACAGGTCTCTGATTCAAATCCAAGGCAAGGAAGAATAAGATGCCACAACATCAGCTACTGTTCTTAAGTCAACCGAATAAGTAAATGTTTTTGTTCTTCCTTTTGTATCGTGGTTTGGAAAGCCTGTACTAATGAATAAACATTGAAGGACATATCAAGGATACTAGTGATCAAAGCGAATCATATTATAGTGTTAAGTTCATTATCAGAATAAATCAAGTTCTACCTTCCTTTTGTATCGTGGTTTGGAAAGCCTGTACTAACGAATAAACATTGAAGGACATATCAAGGATACTAGTGATCAAAGCGAATCATATTATAGTGTTAAGTTCATTATCAGAATAAATCAAGTTCTACCTCCACGATCCTGTTCAGCTTGCCAGAGACATTGCCATTCTCGTTGCTGCCGCTTCATTGTCCTAACGATGGCTACAGCTAGCCGCAGGGCTTCCTTCTGGCACCCATGAGAACGCAGAGCTTCCACCCTAGCACAGGCTGTTGGGATATGTTCTGAAAATCATTTAAAAAAAATAATATATATATATATATATATATATATATATATATACACACACACAACCACAGTAACTATACAACTACAAACACTGCTACTACTGTTAGTATGATCCAACTAGTAATTGAAGAAACATAAACACAACTATACAACTAGAAACATTATTACATTAAGTCTGATTCAACTAGTAACTGAAGGAACTTAACAACTGAATGACTTTAGAAAACCTTACCATGACTCTTAGCTGTTAGTAATTACCATCTATAACATGGTAAAGTTCTGTATTGTCACTTAGCTGTCAGGTGATGTATTAGGACATTGTTAGGTTTTATATCAGTTGTTACGATATTCGTTAGGTCATGGTAAGATTCTATATCAGTTGTCAAGGTATTCACTAGGTCATGATAAGGTTTTGTATTCATTGTCAAGGTATTCACTAGGTCATGATAAGGTTCTATATCAGTTGTCAAGGTATTCACTAGGTCATGATAAGGTTCTATATCAGTTGTCAACGTATTCACTCGGTCATGATAAGGTTCTATATCAGTTATCAAGGTATTCACTAGGTCATGATGAGGTTCTATATCACTTGTCAACGTATTCACTAGGTTGTTATAAGGTTTTGTATCCGTTGTCAAGGTATTCACTAGGTCATGATAAGATTCTATATCAGTTGTCAACGTATTCACTAGGTCGTGATAAGGTTCTATATCACTTGTCAATGTATTCACTAGGTCGTGATAAGGTTCAAAATCACTTGTCAACGTATTCTAGTGGTCGTGATAAAGTTCAAAATCACTTGTCAAGGTATTCACTAGGTCATGGTAAGGTTCTTTATTTGTTAGAAACTAAATAAGACAAAATTACAATTTCCACAATCCTCTAAAAATCTTTATTCAAGATATCAGGTCTTATCTAACAACTTCTACATATTTTGGTGGGCCACAGACCCACAGTTATCAGGAGAAAGCAGTGAAGAACCCATTATACTGATTAAATACCCTTTGAATTGTTTGCATGATGCCAGAAACGTCAGTCAGTCAATCAATTGACATAAATGGTGCTGCCATCTATTTACATTTCTTATAACATAGATTTCCAAATATATATTTCTTTATCCTCTGGACCCAAATACGTTTTTATCATCTGCTATGTTCAGCTAATGCTGATTCATTAATTTTATGTGTTTTCTATAAATGATTTGTGTTTGTTAAGGCTAAATTTTAAACTATTACATGTTTGGACAATATACGTTACACCACAAATCGAAGATGTTTTATAAATATCACATTTATCTGTAAACGTGATTTTATCTGCAAGACTAGCAACAATATGGCTAAGTTTAATCAGAAGCGACAGTTAGTATATTTTTTTTAAAACCATTACCTTTATATGGGGAAGTCATTTGACCGGCACAAACATTCTCACTCACAACCTTAGTAACTTTAAATTTAGTACACCATGAAATTTTTAATTTACCTTTTAGGTAAGGCCTGATGCCTTTGATATGTTTTGTCTTTAAGATGTGGAAATTTTAACATTGTTTTAAGGAGTTTTTAATAAGTACTTTACACAAGGCTGGTCCAATTTAATTGTAAGACTCACTCTGACAATACAGAACTTTACCATGTTATAGATGGTAATTACTGACAGCTAAGTGACCTGGTAAAGTTCTGTATTGTTATAGATGGTAATTACTGACAGCTAAGTGACCATACAAAACATTACCATGCCATAATGGATAACCCTGGCAATTGAAAGATGCAGATGAAGAGGGTTCTGTGCACTGAGAGACACCATCATGTGCTAGAATATACTTTAGGTGTGGGTCGTCCCATTGAAGATGGCTGGCCTCCAGGGCTCGATGAAATATTGTGCGAGGTTGGGGTTGTGTAGTAGTGGTGGTGGTGGTGGTGGCGGTGGGAGCAACGGGACGTTCACCCTGAGGTAATTCTGTAAAAAAATCAAGTGTACATAACATGTATTAGTTACATAAAATCAAGTATTACAATTATGTTAAACTCTCTTACTTAATATTCTTTATATTAACAAGTTTACTTACCATGCAAGTTAGGAAGAGTTCAAACATAGTTTTGTAAAGTCTATAAAACAAACAATTACATAAGCATAAGATACAATTCAAAACTGAGACACTGAGTAAAGATAGGTAAACAAGGAAATAATATATAGCAAATAGTTATAACAAATCTAGTGAAACTAGGAAGGAAATGAAATATGGTAAAATTGAAGAGAGTCTGAAAAGACCGATCTTTCCATTATAGTTGCCAGTTTCCTGTACAAGCCTGCAGGCTTATAATGCTAAAAATGGGTTTTTGATATCCATGATGGGCAGAGTACAGATAGCCCATCATGTAAACCACCGATGAAATGGTGGGAGCTATCACGTACACGATCAACAAACGAATGGGCTTGAATTAGAAACATTTCACGAATTATAATTAGCGTCAAGCTTATTTTGCTGAAAACAATTGATAAGACTGAAGGAATCCGTAGGTAGAACCCGTTTTACTGAATGATAGCACAGAACCGTGCATCAAAGAATATTCTGAAACACTGAGCTGTCTCTTATAACTGAAGTAGCGGAAGCAGATTTCCCGAGTAAAATCACAAGCCCTTTACCTTTCTTCTTATACAGGGCGTAACTTAACCTTTGGCTGGCCCTGGGTGTCAGCCCGTAAAGGGTGGAGGTCATGTTATTTAATGATAGGATGACCAGTAAAACAATGAACTTTTTTGCCACTTTAACAATGACCAAAACTGAAGACCAATTAACATATAAATTGGTCATTTCATAAAATATTGGGGTGAAATCAAAAGGGCGGGTTACATAAAATTAATGTGCAATGAAAACAAATCTTGTTTGGACACCCTCGGTTTCAAAAGATGACTTGAGAGTTGTCAGCTCAGCTACCTATGAAACAACTAACTGAAACGAGCCTCGTAAATCGATTAAGGTTTAGCATGACCATCAAAGTAGATAAGAAAATCGCAGATCAAGTCTACTAGTACTGGTATTTTGTCTTCTGTCCTGCATCCCCACTTTACCATTTCTCTACTGGCTTATGACAATTGGGTGGGTGGCAAATCTGACAATAGAAATGGTGGAAATCCCCACCCCAATGGCAGTATATTCTCTTCCCTGCATCTAATATTATTATATAATAGTTTTATCCAAAAGAAGTGAATTTTGATATATAATGATTAGACTTCAAACACATTTTTATACAATAAGATAAAAAAAGCAAAAACAATTTAATCATTCACTATACCATTTGAGTCGTCATCTGAGGAATCGGAGGAACTATCGTCTTCAAGAGGTCTCCTTGCTTGCGTGCTGCTTCCTGGTGGGCGAAAATCTGCATCCTCGAGTGGACATACTTGAGTGTTTGCCCACTTTTCTAATAGAGTACGCCACTGCTGCTTGTCAATATGGTTTGAATGTGGGCTAAGAACCACACAAACCCATAATGCACCTAGAGAAATGCAAATAGACTTTATAAAAACAACTACGTAGAAGCATTAAAATGTGAATATTAAGACATGATATAAAACAACAAAACTAAATGTTATATGAAGGAGAAAAAGAAGAGATAAAAGTGTGTGGAAAAAAAAAAAGATTGTTTCTGAATAGATAGATATTAATTCAAACCAATAACTTGTAACTTCAATTTCAAAGCCCTTTTTGTAGTGATCTTGTTTAAAGCACTTATATCAAAAGTTTGTCTTAATTTAAAATCCCAACATTAACCGTTATAAAGTATTCATCGTTCTAGTGCATTCCTTAGAAGGCTAAATGAAAAATTTGACAAACAACACGTGTTATATTAAAGTTCTGAAAAATACTACTGAACTTTCGGTCAGCTTCTGAAATAATTTGACAGCCTTATAAAAGAAACTGATCTAAAAATTAAATTATCGTGATTTGTGTTACAGAATATAATATACATCGTTGATCAATAATCATTGTAGTACATAAAAACTTTATGTAAGTAAAGTGTATTGATATGTTACAAAGCTTCAAACAAACGTAATTTCACAGTCAATCACTGAACAATACTATATTCAGCATGTATGCTTCATATTGATATTAAGAGTACGAATATCAATATGAAATCTGGGAAGCATATTGTTGGGATAACTCACCTGTCTTACTCTCAGTTTACTAATAACAAGATGAGCAGATTGTTTACAACGGGCAGTTTAAACTTAATCTTAACTGTCATTATGCATAATATGGCCAAACTTCTGACAAATGACAAGCCAGTATCACTTATTGGTAGCTTCCTGACACTCCAATTTCTTACCTAGTTGATCCCACAGCTGACGACACTTGTCCATCATCGGGGTCCCTTGGGCTCTCCAGATTACTAATCGGGGATCAGCCAAAAACTGCTCTGTGATTAGTCTCAACATTCTGGCACCATTTGAGTCTCTGGCCCGCAACATCTCCTTGACCTGTAAAAACAGGTAGTATGTAATCCATCACATAACATTTATAGAATTCAAACAGGATAAACTGCAAGTGAATGTACTTTTTCTGATATTACCTAATAAACATTTTTCCTTACTGTTAAAGATGTCACTTGTCAAAATACTTATCACTAATAAGTAAAGTCAAATGTATCTATTTAACATTACACGTATTTCACTTAATGTTTCATTTATACAACGTCTTCAAGAGTGACTTTCAATTTACTTATCTATTTAACGTTACACGTATTTCACTTAATGTTTCATTTATACAACGTCTTCAAGAGTGACTGTCAATTTACTTATCTATTTAACGTTACACGTATTTCACTTAATGTTTCATTTATACAACGTCTTCAAGAGTGACTGTCAATTTACTTATCTATTTAACGTTACACGTATTTCACTTAATGTTTCATTTATACAACGTCTTCAAGAGTGACTGTCAATTTACTTATCTATTTAACGTTACACGTATTTCACTTAATGTTTCATTTATACAACGTCTTCAAGAGTGACTTTCAATTTACTTATCTATTTAACGTTACACGTATTTCACTTAATGTTTCATTTATACAACGTCTTCAAGAGTGACTGTCAATTTACTTCACTAAATTCACAATGTAGAATTTTAAATTTGTTTTATAGACCAGTGGTGAGTATGAAACGAGAACATGTAGATAATAAAACCAAATATATATGGCAACATCAAATGTAGGTGTGGAAATCATCCAGAGTGACTTTCGATTTACTTTGCTAAATTCACAATGTAGAATTTTAAATTTGTTTTATAGACCAGTGGTGAGTATGAAACGAGAACATGTAGATAATAAAACCAAATATATATATGGCAACATCAAATGTAGGTGTGGAAATCATCGAGAAATACCTGCACAACTACATTTGTGTCATTAGACATTGATGTTGTTTTATATTGTCATTTGTTTTAATGTAAGCAATATAATTTGCTCGTTCCATGACCTCCCCATTGGTCTATAGAACACTCGTTCCACCTCCACATTGGTCTATAGAACACTCGTTCCACCTCCCCATTGGTCTATATAATTTGCATGACCTCGTTCCACCTCTCCATTGGTCTATATAATTTGCATGACCTCGCTCCACCTCCCATTGGTCTATATAATTTGCATGACCTCATTCCATCTCTTCATTGGTCTATATAATTTGCATGACCTCGTTCCATGACCTCCCCATTGGTCTATATAATTTGCATGACCTCGTTCCATGACCTCCCCATTGGTCTATATAATTTGCATGACCTCCCCATTGGTCTATATAATTTGCATGACCTTATTCCACCTCCCCATTGGTCTATATAATCTGCATGACCTCGTTCCACCTCCCCAGTGGTCTATAGAACACATTTAGGAGTGTATAGTCTGCTATGCATTGCGAGTGTAGCAATGTTGGTCACTCCTGAAATTGTAGAAACAAAACACTGAGTGAAATAAATATTACCTTGCTCTGGAGTTTATGGTTGCTTCTTCATGATACACAATGTACAAGTTACTCCAGTCACCATTTAGTTGTATAACTTTTCACAGAAAATACTCTTTATTCCTTAAACCCGAGCAGACGCTGCCTGCATCCAACCAAAAATCCCGATTTACACAAAAAGTAATATGGTGTAAAACTGGAACAAGCCACTTCAAGAAACATTATGCTGAAAACAACATGAAGAAGAAGAAGAACACTAAAAGTAGACTGAGTCGCACGAAGAACTAAATTCTGTATTAAGATTACACCACTTACTTTGGTAAACAGTGCATTTAGTTGCTTGTTAGCACTGTAGTAGCCTCCCTGAGATAGGTAGTTGTGAACCTGTTCTGTTACCTGTTCTTCATCCAAATGCCAACTATGCTCCTCATCAGCTGAGGCTCCAGCTGTGGGATCTGGTGCTCCTGAAATTAAAACAAGTTAGGATTCACAGAAGAAATAATGACCATCACCAACACTTACAGATTTAATAATAAACGAACTGCACTGTTTTGCTTGTTGAACCAAAAGTTTAGTTTATTGATCAGTGCTTTCCTTTAAGGGCACGTTTCTGTTCCTTGTTTGTCTTTCCAATGATTTTAGACTGTCCTTTACTTATACGTTCATTACATTCATTTAGCTCATGTTTCTAACAAGGAACTGTAAGTAAAGGAAGTACTGATCAACAATACAATTCAGTTATTCATAAAGACTATTGAAAGTAAACCTCAAACCACATGTTTGGCATACCTATGCATGCTAAGAAAAAAGCCAGTTACAACTTACAAACGATACTTTGATAACTCACAATATAACCATATCTCTAAGTATGTGTTATATAAAAATAACTATTGAAAATAGTGAACAACGTTATATTTACCTTTAAATAACTAAATATGTAATAATAAGTTACTCTTGTAGCAAGTTATAAATGTATAGTGCAAAGTTTACATAATCATAATGACGAAAAAAATACCATTTACAAGAATCATATATAAAATGCCTGACTGATGGAATATTCCCAATGCTTTTGGGTGCAATGACCACAGACATTTTCCTTTACGTCTTAACAGATAATGACAGGAATTGTCAATAGCAGCTTTCTTTTCTTGTTTGTTAGTCTCATACTATGCATCTTAGTATTGATTTATATATAAATACACTTAATTAAGTCAGAATATCATTATTATACATACATTTTATTTAAACAGCAAATAGAGCACAGTTAAAATGCTGTTATACAACCTTATCACTAGCAACCTTTGCTAGGACAGTACAGAATAATGTGATTTAAATACTAGTTTTATCATGCTGTAATATCGTAAATATACACTCCTGGAATTATTTTAACAATCGTAAACATGGTTGTTTATTACAGAACATTTCCTGAAAATACAGGGAAAGCTAGTTTCTGATTTTTTAATGACTTATTATCAGAGATTATTTGATATGCACAAAGATTAAAAGGACAATAAAACCTGTCTGTAAATGTCAGCAACCGTTCCAACCCCAATTACAAGTCAATCACCACACCCTTGCTGGAAAGAAAATGCATTAATTTAGACTCGACAAAACAAAAAAGTGTAACATACAGGTGATGTATATTAAAATTATAATATAATGTAAAAACTGAATGAACTCTGATTAAGCTGCAATACGTTATAAGTTTACAAAGATATACAGATATAGTCATACATGAATGTGTAAACAGAAATGTTTCTGAACTCACCGGGGATGGAATTAATAACTGACTGTGTCTTTAGAATGTCATCAGCTAACCGCTGAGCTGTTGGAAGGACTTCTGTATGATGTTCAGCAACGAGGTACTGCACTAGCTTCTGAAGTTGCTGTCGATCTAACTGGAGTAGCGTTTCTATAAATATTAAAACCATTGGAATCTTATAGCAGCCACTGAACTAATTACAAGTCTCACTGAGTGCTGAACTAACAGCAATAAACAGATGTGAAATAATGATTAAATCCAAATAAATTGAAAATGCAGCTTCATTTGGTAAAAAATGAAATTATAAAACCATATGCTAAATAATAAAATAAGTTATACGTATGTCCTGTTGTTCTCTAACTTAGTAACATTTAATGCATCAAGTTTTTGGCTAAAGCCTTATGACAAGAAATGTAATGAACACAAGTTTCCCTCTTACTCAGTAACATTAAATGTGCCAAGTTTTGGGCTACATTACATTTCTTGTCATAAGGCTTAACACAAGTTTCCCTCTTACTCAGTAACATTAAATGTGCCAAGTTTTGGGCTACATTACATTTCTTGTCATAAGGCTTAACACAAGTTTCCCTCTTACTCAGTAACATTAAATGTTTTTGGCTACATTACATTTCTTGTCATAAGGCTTAACACAAGTTTCCCTCTTACTCAGTAACATTAAATGTTTTTGGCTACATTACATTTCTTGTCATAAGGCTTAACACAAGTTTCCCTCTTACTCAGTAACATTAAATGTGCCAAGTTTTTGGCTACATTATATTTCTTGTCATCAGGCTTAACACAAGTTTTTCTCATTATTATAAACACGTAATGTGTTGAGTTCCTCTAAGCGATACAACAAAAGTTGTAAACATGGAGAAAATTCTGGGTTATTTCTTGTTTCAATATTTATTAGAAACCTTAAACAATATAAATATACGTTCATGTGGTTTACCAGAATCAGAACCTAAGAAAGACAAAGAACAAAATAGAACAGTATAGTACGTTTTGTGTCAAAGTTTCACATCTTACCTGAGATGGGAACACGTAATTTAACATGTGCCGCTCTTCTCATTCGATAAATTACAAGGGCAACAACATGTTGACACCAGAAGATGTCGTTTATGTCGCATGTACAAGAGACAGATGTAATTTTGCATCTGTAAAAAGAAACATGCATTGATATTTAGGTTTAAACAATGAAGGAGAAAACAGAGAAAACTATAATTTATTTCTTTGATCTTTTACGGTCAACTGCACTTAATCAGTCAGTTAAAGCATATGTACAAGCCAAACTTTTGTTGCTTAGAATTACTTTTCAGGAGTGATTTCATAAAAAGGAGATATTTTTCATGTCCCAGTGTTCACAGTTTAGACAATCTAGAAACATAAAATTGTACTCCAACACATAAATACATACCTACACGAGTACTTGGATATTCCAAAGTTAGAAGAACTGTGTGTTATACAACTGCTCATAAAAAGTAATGCAAGAAGGAATATTTAAGTAGACGGAAATCACAAAAATCTACACCACACTTTCTGTCATCAACAAAGTGAGCACATTCAGCTCATAGAAATAGACATTAACTTCTGTGAAAATGGTTGTAAAACTGAATCATTCAGTCTTAATTTCATTACTTTTGTATACACATGTGATAACACTTGACAAATCAAATTCATTTAATTGAAGCAAGATTATTTTTACATCGAAATTCACGGAAGTCCCGTACAAATTAAGCTTGTTCAACTCTGTCTTCACAAAATGCACGGTACTAGAGGTCAGAGTCAATGAACACTTTTCTTGCCACGAAACGTCACATAAGTAAACCTAACTGAAGCTACTAAAGATTATAAGAGCAATGATTCAGGTCTTACATTCATTTGGAACAACCTCCTCTACTGCCGAACCATACCGTATCTAAGGGCTATGATCACACGTTATTTCCCTAAACCTGCAATAAAGATGGTTAGATCCCACCCTCGCTGTACATGACCACTGGCCAAGTCTTTAGGTCAGGAAATTAGCTCGATTATGTATGAGCATCAATTATATTAATTACTATTATGTAAGATAATTTATTAAATTATGATTAAATGTCACAAAATTAATCTTTATTATTACTCCTGTTTTTTGGTTATTTCAATTATCCAAGTAACTGAAACACTGCCATTATGACTTCTCATTGGTATTTTTGATTACTTGAGGATTTTCAAGTCAATTGATTTACTGTCACAACTCACAAATATGACCAAAATAATGTCTCACGAGAACAATCGATTAGTTGCATGTAATTAATTAATCAATTATCAAATTACACTAATCACCCACTGGCCATCTTTAATTACATCAACAAACGACTATTAAACTCTGCACTGGATAACATAGCAGTGATTCCTATTTCTTCCATCATCTTCCTCATTATAACAGCTGTTAGTTTCAACAAGTTGCTGGAAGCTTGTGTTTGGTTGGTTATTTTAGAGCAAAACTACATTGGGCTATCTGCTGTGTCTACCACAGGGAATTGAACCCTGGATTTTAGCGCTGTGAGTCTGTAAACTTTCCGCTGTACCACCCGTATTTGTTTATTATTGCTAATATAGTCAGAAGATATGTCCAGTTTCAACAAATGGTCACATAATCACAGACATCACTCTGTACTAGTGTGAGGTACTCTGGAAACTACTGCTGTCCTAAATGTTCTGCTGTAAATGATTTTCCATGTCTGTGATGAACACAGGACACTCTTTTCCTAAAATGTTGTGACCTTTGACCATACATCTTTGAAAAATATCTTTATCTGAATATCCTTCCTGAGAAAAAGCTGCAACACAAACACCTTTGATGTAACCAATCATTTCTCCAGTTTAAAAAGTATTTACAGTAATGCATAGTCAAGTATTCTAGATTTTTGTGTTCTCCACTATTTAAAGGTCAGGAATTCACAGACTGTTTTGTAAAAAATATGATTAACCCTCTGTCATACAGATAAATATTTATAAGAGATCTGAAATGGTTTAATGAAAAATAAATATACCAATTAATGTAACTATTACTTAATTTACATTCAAAATTACATTTCCTTGTAACGTACGTGATTTTCGACAAGTTTATTCTATAAACTATTATAACAATAAGATACAAGAAGAGATTAAGAGCTAAAACTGTACATTTAATAAGAAATACAAAAATGTTTTATTACACAAATAAAGGGTTAGTTACTCTAAAATTACAACTAAAAATGCATACAAATAGCTATATGTTAACTTACTCCTAACAGTTCCAAATTGTCCAATCTATTTTACGTATCTAAGCAAACTTCACTGAGTTGAAAGAGTATGCCTAAAGAGACTTTTGTGTATGAAATTGGATTATCAAACATTTTACCTTGCTGGATAATTAAATGTTTAATTATAACTTAATCGTATTCCAAGCCAGTGTGGGAATATAAATAGGTTTTATTTGTTAAACAGCACATCTCTGATTCCCTTATTAATTCTGCTCTCCTGTAAGTTCATTATTATAATTACAAGTTTCATGACGACTTAATGAAATTTAATTAGTCACAGAGTTAAATCACTGATATAAATAAACTCTCAAACACTCTTTAATAACAAAATTCACTGTCTAATAATGCAGTGAAAATTAAAGACTCGGTTTTCATTAATACTGTATGCACGGATACCCGGTGCCCAGTTAAAAGGTCAAATACACACACAAAATCTTTAGCAGCTTGTATTAATGTCTGTATAATAAAATTATTTTCATAAAGTTACTTATAAGACTACAGATTAGTCTAATTTATACAGATTTCTCCGTCCGTAAAGTAATCAAAAGTATGTGCTTCTGGTGTTGCTTTACGTCAAATTAACATATGCCAGTACACTGTACTCATTTATTATTGTTTATGTACATGAATCACTAAACAGTCGGTCCACTGTATAATATTGAATTCAATGGAAGGTCAAAATGTTATTCAACTACCAACATTAATTGAGGTTACTGTATGGGGAAGTAAAAGGACTCAAAATCCCATGGGTGTTATGTAGGGATTCAAAATCCCATGGGTGTTATGTACGGATTCAAAATCCCATAGGTGTTATGTACAGATTCAAAATCCCATAGATGTTATGTAGGGATTCAAAATCCCATGGGTGTTATGTATGGATTCAAAATCCCATAGGTGTTATGTATGGATTCAGAATCCCATAGATATTGTGTACAGATTCAAAATCCCATAGATATTGTGTACAGATTCAAAATCCCATAGATGTTATGTAGGGATTCAAAATCCCATAGATATTATGTAGGGATTCAAAATCCCATAGATGTTATGTACCAACTTATGTTCATAAGTTACCTACCACAGCTTTAAAAATTCTCCTTATATTTTCTCAAACACCAAAAAAAAGTAAATATCCCATACCACAGAATGAAACTGTGATTCAAACAATCAGGTATGGTAATGAATATACTAACAAAAAATCGCTTCATATTACCTGTCAAAGGTGATGGAGACCCTGTGTCTTTTTTCTGGTTCTGAGGAATAACCTGAGGTTGTACTACTAGACGTTTTGGGAGTCACCACAAACCCACTCAAGTGGAAACCTGAAAACAATAACCCATATGAGCTTCTGAGCTACAAAAAATTATTGCAACCATATTAACAAAATGTTAGACCACTTTTATCAACTTCACAGGTTTTGGTCTCTTACGCAAGACCGCTTATTTTTCAACACTAGTTTTGTTTAAGACTAATCTCAAGTTTTAAGTTGAAAAAAAAAGTGCAAATAAACTTCAAGATCATTAGGGTGTCAACCTTTGAACGGTTCTAAGAACAGGTAGACGAACTCTTACAAAAGTTATTGCATTTAAAGTTATCTGATTTTTTAATTTTTTTGTACAGGTTAAACTTTTTATTTTTTAGAAAAACTATCTTAACAAATGTGAAGTTGATATAGATGTTATAACTTGTGAATAAAACATCAGACACAACCATATGAATTGTTTTAATGACCTACAGCTTATTTTCATAAAATCCTACTTTCTATGGATACTAATATCATATCCACCAAAAAATAATGTTTAATTTCAAAAAAACTACAAGTTTTATGAAAACTTTTACTTTAAATAACTAATAAGCAGACTGATACTACAAAACTACCACAAGAATAAACAGCAAGGACTACATGTATTGATTAGTGTTTTTAGTTGCTTCTGTTTACAGTACATATACATGCAAACATCTATAAACAACATGTTTAAAACCTTATTTTAGGTTAACCAAGTTAAGTCATACTAAACTTTCTATAGGAAAACTGTGGCTGTTCTAAAAGAACAAACAATGAACTAAATACATTCCTCTCATTACACTTATGCGACCACTACACACATAACGTGAATTCTTTAATTTCTTCACCATTACTTAACACAGACATGTTTAAATGCAAATATTAAAGTGCCTACTTAAATGTCACTTGTTGACCTAGTTATTTTGCATGTTACTCCTTAGTAATCAAGATTATTTTTTTTTGTTGAAACTTAAATACAAATTCAACATAGGTCACATTGGTGGAGTTACTTAAAAATCTTGTATTCAGTATTTCAGCTAATAGTAGCAAAGGCTAAACAAACAACGTATATCTAAGGGTCCATATCAAATGGTGTACTTATATTCATTCTTTTGTTAGAACTTGGTTTCTTATATAATTCCAAGAAGAATATTTTTTGTTAACACTTATTATAATGATGATTATTATGGATTCAAGTGTGGTGAAGACAATTATGTTAAAAACAGTCAAACATTGATACAATAATTATACCTTTCAGGCTTAGTGTGCCCTTAAACACAACAGTCAAACATTGATACAATAATTATACCTTTCAGGCTTAGCTGTGCCTTTAAACACAACAGTCAAACATTGATACAATAATTATACCTTTCAGGCTTAGCTGTGCCTTTAAACACAACAGTCAAACATTGATACAATAATTATACCTTTCAGGCTTAGCTGTGCCTTTAAACACATTTAATTATTTATTTTTGACTTTTAGCTATTAATGTTTCATATAACACCAAGAAAAGCACTTCTAGGTATTAATGTTTCACATAACACCAAGAAAAGCACTTCTAGGTATTAATGTTTCACATAACACCAAGAAAAGCACTTCTAGGTATTAATGGTTCACATAACACCAAGAAAAGCACTTCTAGGTATTAATGGTTCACACAACAACAAGAAAAGCACTTCTAGGTATTGATGTTTTACATAACACCAAGAAAAGCACTTCTAGTTATTAATGTTTTACATAACACCAAGAAAGGAGCCTGTAGATATTAACTTTTACATATGTCACCAAGAAAAGCACTTCTAGGTATTAATGTTTTACATAACAACAAGAAAAGCACTTCTAGGTATTAATGTTTCACATAACACCAAGAAAAGCACTTCTAGTTATTAATGTTTCACACAACACCAAGAAAAGCACTTCTAGCTATTAATGTTTCACACAACACCAAGAAAAGCACTTCTAGCTACTAATGTTTCACACAACACCAAGAAAAGAACTTCTAGCTATTAATGTTTCACATAACACCAAGAAAAGAACTTCTAGCTATTAATGTTTCACATAACACCAAGAAAAGCACTTCTAGGTATTAATGTTTCACACTAACACCAAGAAAAGCACTTCTAGGTATTAATGTTCCACACAACACCAAGAAAAGCACTTCTAGGTATTAATGTTTCACATAACACCATACAGACACATAACACTGTGTTGTTGGACTACTATTCAGGTTAAGATACCTATTACAAAGATACCATACAGGTGTTTTACAATTACATGGGTATCCTCTTCAGAAAGTATAAATCTTATACAAAATTGGAGAGCTTTTTCAATGACGAAATGGTAGAATTATATCACATAAAACCTAGAATATGGATGCATATAGCTTACAAAAACAAAAACCAGGAACTATCAGTGACAAAGCGTAACAGAAAGTTTTCATATTATTCTTGTTTAAAGTAAAAAACACCCAACAAGTAAACATATGTTCCATAAAAGATGTTTGTCATTTGACAAGTGATTAAAGAATCTTTGTACAAAATTACATGAGGGTTATCTCTGAATGGATTAAATGGAAGGTACTTAATAACCAGCACTAATTACCACCATTCCAAACTCTTGGTCTACTCTTTCTGATCCAGTACTATGATTTAATGATGACTCTTATAGCATACCCATAGTTCCAAAATATGCTGTACATTTTTGTAGCAATAATTCACTAACAGTAAAACCCTCAGGTAGTCAGATTCATGTTCCAAGTATGCTTGTAACTAAGCAATACCCAAATCACCTCACCAACTGATTAACGACACATCTGTCAACTTGTAGATTTAGTGAAATAAGTTAGCAGGAAGTGAAACACATCAGAGATTAAACTGTTATATATCATTTCTGGTTGAAATGTCTGTTTGTTTGAAGTGAAACACATCAGAAGTTAAACTGTTATATATCATTTCTGGTTGAAATGTCTGTTTGTTTGAAGTGAAACACATCAGAGGTTAAACTGTTATATATCATTTCTGGTTGAAATGTCTGTTTGTTTATTGTTTATTTGAAGTGAAACACATCAGAGGTTAAACTGTTATATATCATTTCTGATTGAAATGTGTGTTTGTTTATTTGAAGTGAAACACATCAGAGGTTAAACTGTTATATATCATTTCTGGTTGAAATGTCTGTTTGTTTATTTGAAGTGAAACACAAAGTAATGCAACGGGCTATATGTGCTCTGTCCACCATGGGTATCAAAACCATGATTCTAACATTGTAAGTCAGAAGACATGCCGCTCTGCCACTGGAGGGCAAGTTGAAATGTCAACAGAAATGGAAGACAAAGACAAAAAAACTAACTTGTAAATATGTCCTACGCTGAACCCTGAATACTTAATAACTAACCATAAGCACGTGTCTTATAAGTAAAACACAATGAGGAAATATCTGAACAACAATGCGTATGGTGGAAAGCTCTAAAACATTACATGAACACATGTAGTGTACACATGTGATACGGGATTTTTCTTGTTAACAGCTTAAAAATCATACACAGTAGTTCTCAAAATGTAATATTGACCATAAATCTGAACATGACTAATTACTTCCATATTAGCTGTACTAATTGTTTCTTGTAAGTGGTCTATGGTTCTAATTAAAGGACAAGCAGCTATCTTACTAACCATTGACATCATGCAAGTTTACAGGACAAGCAGCTATCTTACTAACCATTGACATCATGCAAGTTTACAGGACAAGCAACTATCTTACCAACTATTGACATCATGCAAGTTTACAGGACAAGCAGCTATCTTACTAACCATTGACATCATGCAAGTTTACAGGACAAGCAGCTATCTTACTAACCATTGACATCATGCAAGCTTACAGGACAAGCAACTATCCATGGATATCCTGCAAAATTTTACATATAAAGCAGCTATGCTACTACCAGTTTTACAGGACAAGCGCTTATGTTAATAACCACTAAGTAACTAAAACACATATACAAAATGTTAACATTTTCTGCTTCCTACATATTATATAATCAAAAACTGTGGGTATTATATTTATCTTATGGTCTGGTTATCTTCATACTACTAGAAAATGGAGATGAAAATACGAAAAACCTACTGCTGGTGAGGTGTGTCTAACATAGTTCGTTGTAGTTATTTAAATTGTAACATTAGGTCTGCAAACACAGACAGGTTACTATGAGTTATAACGAAACCAGTATTATTATTAAGTGTGCTGGATATTCTACAATACGAAATCCACTTTTAATCGTTTTTCTTAATAAGCCTAATCAAATAAAATTACAAACACCTGCTGTGAAACAGAACGTAATAAATATATATATAGTTTTGGGAGTGATGCGTGTGTGAGATATGTCAGTATTATGAAAACGATTATAATATAAACACCTCCCAAAAATAAAATAATGAATTTGGAATATCAATATTAACAAATATAATTAGTCACAAAGTAAGAAGAATTGTAGGTTTCGGAAAGCCTATTATATTGTTGTCAACGTAACACTTTTTTTTGTTTCAAACGCAACTATAACAAGCGTATCCTTCCAAGTCACTCCCGATAACCTTTGCAGTTTCAAAGACGATTGCCACCTGGTGGTAAATATTAGCACAAAATTCTTTTAGATAAACATTTACTATTTTTCCATATTTTGCTACGACACAGCTAGATCGCGTGTAGTCACTTTGTCTACTTTTTATTGAAATAGGGAGTCCTTGTTTCTTATAATATCTGCTGGTGAAAATCCTGTGAACACAGAATTCAAAGTAAATATATATAGTCCTTCAAACATTAAAACCTGTTCACTATTTTTGAAATCCAGCTGGCCTAGTGCCAGTAGAAAACAAATACATACTTCAACTCGGAATATGTAGGATAACTTGGCCAGTCTGACAATTTAACAGTATTACTTTTGGCGCGATTCATTAAAATACTTACAAATGAAAGAGATCCAGTCCCACCTATAAATTCTGTTGTTATGGTGCGCTGTGAAACGGCTTTTGTATCGCGAGTAA